CACTAGCACCCGGGCCTCTTTCTCAGCGTCGGGACCGGCTGTCCAGGCAAAATAATAGCTTTAAAATAATGATAACTGAGTGCCAAGTGGACTGTCCACTAACCCTTGTCCACAATATTGACGCGATGAAATCCCGAACAGAAAAACATGGCTCTGAAGGTCCAAACACACGGAATCCTTAAATAATATCTGTTGGATAAACCAAAAAGTTTATTAATTAGCGCTAAATTTATAGCGATTTGTAACAAATGAAAGCAAACCTCCATTTATTTTCGGCTTCTTTTTCGAGTTGCAATTTGTTTAACAAATAAATTGCAAACTTAGCGAAAGTTGAGGCCAACATGAATAGAAATACTGTGAGCACTATCCGCATGGGAACTAATAATATCGTACCGATGATTATCTGACCAATAAATACAATATTATTACCGTATTTGCTATAATAAACTACCGGTAGTTGTATGAGACATACCTGGAAGTAATCAATAGTCCGGAACCGAAACCTATGGACAAACGGATTGACACATCTATCGTTTGCCATTATTTGATGATTAGTCTAAATTGAAGACAAAATGAAATTTGTATCAAATTTGTATAAAATTTGTACTTATAATTAAAGTCCGATATAAGAGAGTTATAAATAGTCTCCAAAATTAGCAAATAAACGAAAAGCATTTATAAATTCAAAATTGAATCAACATTTCACGAGATGTGATAAGACAATGGGGTAAATGTCACATCTTATCGCACACTTAATTTTATAAGAAAACTAATAAAATGACAAAATTTTAAATAAACACTTAATATTCATTGAATTGAGGGAAGGATAACCACATTATATAAAAAGTAAATGTATACATATTTGAAGGTTTGTTCCACTAATATAGTTGTCTATGCACAGGTAGATTAAGGTCGTTGTCCCAAATTGTTATATACAAAAACAACATTTAATTTCTATTTTATATTATTCTCGCAATGGTTATTGAAAAATACTGACAAGTCTTTCAATGTCTGCAAACAATATCGGAAGACGTTTGCATTGAATTCATATAACTATTAAATGAAATAAAAAACTTTCTAAATTATTATAATAATAGTCATATAATAAAT